CTCACTATGCAGTTCAGGCTGACCTTGAACTCACTTTGTAGCCCAGGCTGGCCTGGAACTCACAGTACCACTCTTGCCTCAGCCTCTTGTGTGCTGGGATTACAGCTGTGTGCCTCCACGCCCGGCTTCTGAGTCCACATTTCTCAATTCTGATTTTAAAACTAGAGTGGTCATTCTTGCTAAAATGCTACTCACTCAATTAGAAATTTTTATCCTTAAGGTCAGATCTCTGTACCAAAATAACTAGCTATTTTAGATGCTTTATTTGAAAAAAATCATTAGAAAAATGATAGAATGATACAGAAATAATCTAAGCAACTATTGCATTTCTATCCAAATTATGTCCTGTTTTTATTCTAGACTGATAAGACAGGCAAAATGTAATAAAGAAAGCACACACATTTTGAGTGACTTTTTTTTTGAAATTTGTCTTAAGACTTATAGCAGGTACCTTTGCTTTATTTTTATTTTTTATTTTTTTTGGTTTTTCTCCGGTACCGGGAACTGAACTCACGACCTTGCGCTTGCCAGGCAGGTGCTTTGCCGCTGAGCTAACTCCCCAGCCCCCTGGTACCTTTGCTTTAAAAACAGCAAAATATGACTGGAGGTCACCTCTGTAGCTTAGAGTTAATACTGAAGAATGTTAGTACTTTCTCTTAATTAAATGAACAGTTCACACGTTTTTAAAGTATAAGAAGCACTATTGGCAAATAAAAAATAATTAGCAACTATTTAAATAACCTTCCTGAAACAATTTTTTAAATATCTTAATTTTTTTACATTTTATTTAAATATAATTTTTGTTTTAAAAATGTACAGAATTATAAGAAAGGTTACAGCATCACGCAAATAAGCGAGGGAAAAATCATCATTATTCCAACACTACCTGCAATTTACATCCTTCATGTTTAACCTGAAGCTCATAAAATGTGTGGGGAAGAGCACTTGCAAAAGGGACCTGCTTGCGAAGAAGGAATATCCTGCATGTCAAAACACCGTAGGTGCTGATGAAGTATTGTTTTACTCAACATGGTCAATAAGATGCAAATATTTCCCATTCCACAATTCCCTCTGGATTTGAAATACCTACCTGCCTAACTAAACTCAAAACCTCTTCTATCTTAGCATTACCCCCAGTAAGTCTTTTTCCTCTTCTCATTTTTCCAAAAAGTAAATCCTTTGTGTTAAATAACTGCATTCTGACTTCTTAAGGTCTTCATCTTATCTTCAATACGCTTCTGAAGCTCACCTGCTTTTTGCAAGGTGCTCCCCTCCACCGAACATATAAAGTTGACTAGATACCTCTTCCAATGTGTCTCACAGATATGAAAGTTCTATGTTATAAATTTCTCAGTGCTAGTAACATTAGTTTTCAAAGAATTGTCTTCAAATACCAACAAACCAACAATGTCATTAATGAAACACAGCCACTTAAACTTCTGTGAAATGCCGTTTATGTGCTTGATTTTAGTCTCCTTTTGGCTCCACACAAAAAACAGCTGGATACTTAACAAGTGGTTTCTCGTTTCAATTTAAGTTCCTACAATTCTCAGAAATTATCTAAAAGTTTCATCTGAAGAAAGCCGAGTGATACAATTGAGCATTATGAATTGTTTTCTTTGAAAAAATAAAAGTTTTAATATTTAATTATGTGAACCACGTTAAATTTCCTGGGCTGACCTGGGTGTGGGTGTGGGTGGTACATGCCTGTAATGCCAGCACTCAGGAGGCTGAGGCAGGAGGATCACTGTGAATTGAAGGCCACTCTTAGCTACATAGAAAGTTCAAGGTCAGCCTGGAGTACATAGTGAGACTGTCTCAAAGAAACAAACAAACTAACTAAAAATGAATTTCCTGGGGCAGGTGACTACCCTTCAGATTAAACACTTTCTTACCTGGTTGCAGAACTAACTAAAGAAATGAGAATGAACAGTAAGGATCAACGCATTTCTAGATTTAACTTTTAAGATTTTTCACATAAATTTGAATATCTGGAAGTAAGGCTTTACTCTTGCACAAATTGAGATCCTGTTAAAGTCTTAAGAAGTCATAAAATAGCAAAATCAAGGAATTTGAAATCCGTCTTTGGGCAGCTGAGAAGATTAAATGAGGTGATACACACGACAGCTCTGGCACTTCATAAAAACTGGAACTTGCAAGACCTGGTCTGCACTTTCACTTTACAGATAGAATTGAGACAAGAGGGGCTGGGAATATAGTCCAGTGGAATTGCACCTGCCTGGCAAGCACAAGGTCCCGAGTTTGATTCCCAGTACCAAAAACCAAAAACAAAACACACAAAAAAGCCCTGAGACAAGAAAAACTCTTACCACACAGACACTAACAGATATACTAAATATAAGAAAAGTAATTGATTTGAGGTGCAGAGTAATCAAAGAATACCCTCTAGTCCTATCCTGTTTTAGGTACTCAAGAGATATAAAATAATTTTTGCACCCTCATTTCATGGGAGTTTTCTAATTTTTTTCTATGAATAGCTTTATTCTACTCCTGATAATTTTATGTCTTGGTTCTAAAAATAAAACTAATGAGGAAAGACATATCCTTAATCGTTGCACTTTCATTATTTATTCTAAAAACATTTCCTTCAAATTATTCCGGGGTTTGACTATTTAATATAATGCAAGCACAGACCACATCAAATGAACCAACTCTCCCAACTGCCCCGGATTCTTTTCGCTGCAGCCCTCTCCCTCATCCAGTAGCTAGTCAGTCAACTGCTGTTTTCAGCAATAAAGCCGTCTGCACCTTAACCAAGCCGCTTCTAGCCAGATCTGAGAACAGAAATCCTTGTCGATATTTATCTTCTCAGGTATTTTTACTTTTATTTTTCGTATGCCTGGCACTCACGTAAGCATCGGGTGGAAAAGGCAGGGCCCAGCCCGGAGTGGCTTGATCACCCCGCTGCACCTGTCACACTTTACCTGTTTGCAAGACCACACTCCTCTCCTCTCCATCCAGAGAAACTATCCTGACGTGGTAGGTGGTTCCAGCTTGTAAATCTCTGGGACTGCATTCGTAGGTGGTGTTGTCTATCTGCATGGTGAGGCACGACATGGACCTCGAGGTGTCACTGCTGTAGATGACACTGAAATTACAGGGTGACCCTAACGTTCTCCACTGGATAGACAGCCACCGGTCGGAGACTCTGTGCTCCGTCAGGGTGAAGTTACATCTCACTGACTCCGCCAGGCCGGTCTGCAAAGGAATCAGAGACCACTGTTGAACTCGCAGTCTGCCTGCCTGGAACCTGTCCGCAACAAGCTTCCCAGTCAGCTACACTCATCCCTGGCTCCCAGCCCAGCCGGCCCCTTGGTCCTCCAGCTGGGGTGAGGTTACAGGGAAGGCCATAGGAACTTTCTTCCTAGTTGCTCTCCCTCAGGAGCAGCTGGAGAGAAGGTGGCTTTTGCCTCTGACATTAGGCTGAGTTGTCAGGTTGGCTGGGGGGGTTCACAAGAGGATGGCTCTTTCTGAAAGGAGAGGTGTTGCTCTCTCCCCCATCAAAGCACAGCCTGGGGGAAGCGCAAGTAGGGAGGATTTGGTTTTTTGTCCTTTTGAGACAGGGTCTCACTGTGCAGTTCAGTCTGGCCTTGAGCTCACTTTGTAGCCCAGGATGGTCTCGAACTCGCAATGATCCTCCTGCCTCAGCCTCCTGAGTGCTGGGATTACAGGTGTGCGCCACGGATTTGGTTCTTGCTGGGGAAGGGCCAGCAGCCCCTATCCCTTCTCCGGCCACTCACCTGCAGCAGGCCCAGGGCGATCCACAAGGCCAGCCGGGTTCCATGGCTCCGCATCGCGCTCAGTGGTTAAGACCCAGGCGGACGCGGGCGGCGCGGAGCCACTTGTTGCGTGGCGCGCTCGGCGCGCCGGGCGGGCGCAGCGCTTCCCCG